TATGGTGCTGTATCCAATACGTTATTACGCACTTCTCAGTAAACTGATACCAGAATTCCCACCGCAGAAACTAAATTTACTTATCACTGACTTGCCCTTCGGCCTACTTATTTATTGCATTATTTGCTTATGGTGCAACCAACTTTATATCAGGGAAATAGGTAGCAGCTTGGCAAACGAGTTTGTGAGCACATTCGTATCATTATAAATACGACTTAGACAAACCTGAAGCTAGACATTAAACTAAATACCCTTCCCTTACAGAAGTTCAGAACTGTCGGACTATGTAGCTCACCCAAAGTCATAAGTAAAATAAAACGTACCTACGTTCTGCTCATATAACATCTTAATAAGTTGGAACATAAAGAAAGGCATGAACGAAGAACCTTCTTCTCTCAAACTGTCGTGTGTGTCTTTTCTATCCCGTAATTTTATTTATATTTTGTTTGTTCGTTTCTTTTAGAGCAAGGCCACATTGAGCTATCTGTTGTGTTCACCGCGAGGAATCGAACCCTGGATTTTAGTGTTGTGAGTCCGTAAGCTGACTGCTGTCACGTCGGACGACTTTATTTATAGTAGTAGTTGAGTAAAAAAAGACAACTGCTTTCATCGGTTCAAGTATATACGTTTTTTATAACCTCCACAAAAGCCGCTGTTTCATCTATGAATTTTTCTACTCAAGTTGGGGTCGTACTTATAATTTCAGAGTTTTTGCACAAAGCTACACGCAAGGGCTGTCTGCGCATAGCCTTTCATAACTTTCAACTACAGCGAACACGGCAGCACCCACAGTAAACTCTTGACTTACACTTGTTTGATTAGATAGTCGAATAGTGGGGTTCGACCGCCACTCTTTTAGCGCACCCATTTCTTCAATGTGAGGGGCGAGTTTTTAACAGGAAAAAAAGTAAGTCTTGAACTCTCACACTCGCAGTATGGAGCTACTTACTCAACAATATCTAACCAATACAGTATCTAATCAATAACAAAAAACAGTTGATATTTTGAAAGACTCTTTCGGTTACGACGTCCAAATCGTTTAGTTTTTATATCGTTAAAGACAGATGCTGAAGATTTTATTGGTTTTAGTAACAATATATATTTATTTGCATAATTTTCTTACTCAATTTGTTTCTTTTGTTAATTAGTTATACATATTATTTTATCACTGATTTGTAACCAATCAGGTATTCTGTTTATGGGATTTGAATATTGTACACAATTATTATACACCATTAGTTTTAGATTAAATCAAATACACCTGAAGAAGGGCTAGAAGCGTTGTGACGTTTGTTAAAATGTCTTCTTGAGTGTTGTCAACCACTGAGCAACTGTCTTCATTTCTTTTGTAGCACATCGTTTAGTTTTGACTGTTTCTAGGCTTAGTGAAGCTTTACTCCAACCCCTCACGATATGATAATTTTATGGTATAGTTTTGATAAACTTCTTTTTCATGATAATCTTTAATAATCTGCTGTTTTTCATAAATATGAAATCTGTTTATTTTAAGCACGAATAGACTAAGTTCCTATGCCTGTCGCATTCAAGTTATTTATAAAATTTCAGAGAAAAAGTAGCGGCATGGAATATTATCTAATCTTAAATCTAAAACAAACTTAAACAATTAAATTATATTAAAATTCCAAGAACACACAGGCTAAAACATAAAATAACTAAAACAGCATAAGAAACCGAAATTGTGATTAATGATATTAACTAATTACTTATTGAAACATGGGTTATTATTTATTATAATAACAATCAGGTTTTGTCTGTCCTGAAAATGTGCGCACACTTTACTATCCAAATGCACATACGTGCGCACTTCATTTCAACGGATGTAAACAAAAGGCGAATGTAAATATATGTTGATAAACATTTTGTACAACAGCTTATTAAAAGCTTATCAAAGTTTTTAAAAAGGTTTAACGTTAGGTCGTAGAATAACATTATAAGTTTATTTATTGATAGTATTAAGTACGGTAGAGTTTAGCCCTAACTTAAAGCAAAAAAACGTATACAAATTACAATATTAATTTATCTCTTTAACGAATATAGGCCGTACTTAATAAAGGCTTTGCTTGTTTGTTTCAAGTTAAGCACAAAGCAACATAATGGGCTATCTGTGCTCTGCCCACTGCAAGTATTGAAATCCGATTTTTAACATTATAACCCTCAGACGTACCGTTCAACCAACTAATTTACATCATAATTATGAAT